ATGTCCAAACAGAGATTTATGAGTTATCTCAGAAGTGTTTTAGGGTGAACTAATTTTTTTTTAAAAAATACTAGTCAAAAATATATGTCACAATAACACGTTGATAATGGAGTTCTGGAACTACATTAGGGGCAAAGTGATTAATATTAATAATTTTAAAAAATCTTCACATAGGAGTAGTCCAGAAGCTCCCTTAACAGTCTTCTTTTCCATGATATAAGTCAAATGCTACCTAACCTGTAGCATAGCTGCATTTTTTATATAAAGCCATAGTTTCTTTCACCAAATCTTTTTAATAAAAAATATTTTGTGTTTCTAGACCAAATTATATTCATGACACAACTGATACTAAAGAATATGGTGAAGCTGAGGCTGACAGTGGCTTGCCTAAGGTAAGATTTCAGTTAGAGATATTCTGATTCAAAGCTAAAATCTTTCTCAATAGACACTCTCCTGTTGTGAATAGTCAACAGATGTTCCAAGATACAACCCTAGCTTTAAGAATGGAAAAAGCATCTTAAAAACTCTGGGCTTGAAAGTAGTATGAGGGAATGAAAGGAATTTGAAGATAGTGTTGCATTGCAAAATACTGACAATATTATGCTGTTTAGTCCATAGAGATCTGAGAAACTAAGGATCTAAAATAATAGTATATTATGGTAATACATGGGGAGAATAGTTGGCACTATGAACACATAATAAAAAATATTGGTCAGAGCCTTGATGAAGCATATACATTTTCTTTGGAATAATTTTATTCTGATTATAATTATAGTACATGATGATGACCCTCCTTTTTTCTCCCCTTCATATCCAGTTGAAATATCATGTTCTTATCCTATACTGGGAATCAAACGTCTGTTACAGAATTCATACTCCTGGGATTTCTAAATATTACACATGGAAAGAACTTCCTTGCCATCCTTTTCCTTACTATGTATATTACCTGCATTTTGGGGAATTCATTTATAATTACTGCAGCTGTGTTAAATCAATCTCTCCACACCCCCATGTACTTTTTCCTTGGCAATCTCTCGTTCCTGGATATCTGTTACATCTCTGTGACTGTGCCAAAAATGCTAGCAGGTCTTTGGGTTCATTGTCCCATAATTTCCTTGGCAGATTGTGCAGCCCAGCTTTATTTCCTTGTTGCCTTAATTGGCACTGAAGGATTCCTACTGGCCTCCATGGCTCTGGACCGCTATTTTGCTATATGCCGCCCTTTGGTCTATACCAGACTCATGAATAAATACACCTGTCTCCAGCTAGCGACCATGTCTTGGGTCTGTGGTTTTGTGAATGCTTCTCTCCATGCAACACTCACATTCCATTTGTCTTTCTGCCAATCTAATAGGATTAGTCACTTTTTCTGTGACATCCCTCCACTATTGAGTATCTCATGTTCTGACATATCATTTAACGAAGTTGCCCTTTTCACATCAGGCATATTTATAGGCCTTAGTCCTTTCTTCTTTACGTTGGTCACCTATGTATTCATCCTTCATGCTATTATGAGCAACCATCACAAAAGGCAGCATCACAAAGCCATTTCTACTTGTGCATCTCACCTTCTAGTTGTGATACTGTTTTATGGTTCTGGTATCTTCACATATTTCCGTCCCACGTCTACCTATTCACTTGAAAAAGATCAGCTTGTAGGGGTTTTATATAATATTTTAACCCCAACACTCAATCCCATAATCTACAGTCTACGGAACAAGGAAGTGAAACTGGCTCTGAAGAAATTGATAAGTCTGAAGAAATTGGCCCATGGCAGTTAGGATCCCATTCAATTGACTTAAATCTGCTTCACTCAATGGGTACAGTCTAGAGAAGAAGGTGAACAAAAGACTGTAGAGCCGTTGTACGAAATACATAATCAACCAACATGTGGCATATGAGATGAGGGATGCTAAAAGTCCTCTTTCTTTCTCTGAGCTCTGTATTGAGACTAAAGCCTTCAACTCTGTTTCAGCTACAGTCTTTTGTTTTGTGACTTACTGCAGATAGTTGCCAAAAGAAAATTGTATCTGATTAAGTTCATTCAATCAAATAGTTCCTAAACTGTATGAGTGCCAGGAAGGACTGTTGTACTTGAGAGGGATGATGAATCTGTCAATTTTTATTGATATTTATCCTCTTTAAAAAAAAAAAAAGATCATCCAATTAAATAGTTCCTAAATTTTAATTTAGGAAACAGATTGATGGCATACATCTCCTTAAATTCCATATTATATTTTTTGATATTAGTGTCATTAATTAACATTTGTATATGGGCTTTTGTTGTTGTTGTTGTTGTTCTGTTTGGAAAACTGCATTACAAAAACTAAGAAGTGCATATATTGAATGATTGTTATGTTAATATTGTTTAGGATATTCTCTTGCAAACTCTATCATAATATCAATGTTTAGGGTTATCCAGTTAATTTAATACTTCTTGGCTAAATGAGAGAGAGCTAGATATTAGAAATGACATTATAGAACAGATGAGTTATAAAGGATAAACAGATGGCCTCTGAGCTTTATTCCATCATAGCCTAATTATGTATGATGTAGATGCGATTAAATATAGAAGTAAACTCTGGAACGTAAACTGCCTACATTCTTGATCAGAGTGGCTATAGTAAACATTACAAAGAATAGATGACAACCTTTGGTGTCTCAACAATGTTGTGTTTCTACAATAGGCTTTGTAAGCCTAGGTGGAATTCTGGTCCTTATGGGTGAGCTCTTACTCACTATACAGTATGTATATGTAGAATTTGCATGCAAAACCAATGTAGTATAGCGATGAAGATGTTGGACAAGGAATAGAGGCACTCAGGTTCAAATCCACATGTGACCACAGAGCTCACTGGTTGCTTAATGGATAATGCTAATCAAGAATGCTAATCATTCTTTCTCAGTGCAACTTACCTTGAAGGGTTGTTATGGGAATACAATTAAGGAAAACCCCATCATGTATGTCAGCATGCATTTTCAGAGGAAAAAGGCAGAATAAAAATGCAATAATAAATAAATATGCCTTATTCATATGTTTCTTCTGGCTACACAATTAACATAGCAAAGTTAAAGTCTGTACCCCTGGTCCATAAAAATATAGTTTAATTCCACCCATTATAATGCTTGCAGGTTTTTATGTTTTAAAGCATTTTAGCACATTTCTTTGTGTGCATTGTGCACTTTTTTTTTTTTAAGCTAGCTTTCACTAAAATATGCTAGCACCATCATAGCTCTCTAATGCAAACGTTTCCAGGAACACCAGATGACTTTTTCTATATTAGCTACTTATTTGCATGTAAAGACTCCAAATCCCATGCAGATAGTAAAATTCTCTTTGACAGCTTGCTGGTTGTGGCACTATTGTGAGGAAGAACAAAAGTTTAGGAAGATAGAAATTAGTGGCCTGCCCTTTTATTATGGTATGTTATTTAATCTATATTGACTTTTATGAGATATTTTGCATATTGCATACCTTGTATTACTATCTGAAGCAACATAATGAATCTGTGACACTGTTCTGTGACTGTAATAAAGTTAATTAACTAAAATATGATGCTATAAAAAGTAATTACACATAATAATATGTTTTCAAAAAATCAATCTACAATTTTATTATAAACCTTTCTGAAATATCTATTTTTTTCTTGGGCATATATGCCCAAACATATGTTTCTTTCTGCAATACATGGGGTGGGGGCATTGATAAAAGACACTAGCAGACTTTGTTCATCCCTGGCTATCCATGGCATTATTCATTCCCATGGGATGATGATGATGAGGATGATGATGATGATGATTCCTTTTGGTTCCAATCTTGATGTTGGATTGGGGTCCAAGTGCATACAGGGCCCAGAGACAGAATCCTGTGCTTATAATGAGAATAATGCAGAGTGAAAGGAGAAGAGAAAAGAAAGAAAGAAAAGTTTACTTGGCTCCCACTTCTCATGTCTGGATTTCCCTCATTGCCATTTATTTCAAATTCCCTTATTCCCAGAGTCCCCAAAGAGTAAATGTAAGAGAGATGGCAGGGAATTCAGGATGTGGCCCGAGGGGGGGGGGGAATTATAAATTTATACAAAGATGTTTTCTGGGAATTTTATCTGGCTCATATATTAATCAACAATGGAGAGATAATGTCTGGGTTCATATTTACACTTATTTACAAACATTCAAATTCATGCCTAAGTCCTAACTTGGAGAACTTCACAATCATCTTGATGAAAATGTTGGTATGTCTAAAAACATTGTGACAAAAGAAATGTTGAAACAAAGACACCATATGAGTCCATTTGAAGGCGGGGGGGAGGTGTTCTCCTGAAATGATACTTTTGCATGATTCTTCATTTGAGCACACATTGCTAGGTAACTTTGAACCTTTATACAGTAAACTGCAAAATATTCACCACATTAGATATGGAAGAGTCAAAGTAAATATTTGAAATAGTCATTGGAGAAGACATTTGAACATAAGAAGATAGGCAATGCTTGTAAACATTGTTATTTCACTTTCATAAACTTCAGATCAGGTCAGGTTGTACTGAAATTCTCAAAGATCAAATTTCTGAAAATCTCCTGTACTGAAAATTATTGCTAAACAATGGGCTAATAGGTTAGAGATTATTGTTCATATACTCAACCCCTCCCTCCAAATTCCCATGTTTTTCTTCCTGATGAACTTGTCATTCTTGGACATTTGTTATACGACCAGCATGTTGGTACATTTGCTAACTAAGCACAAGAGCATTTCCAAAGCTGGAAGTAAAACAGGAATCCTCAATTGTGACAGCTTGGCTGACTTGGTGGAGGGTTGTTGTCCAAGGCTGGCTCCATTGACATTGTTTCCTTTTACCCATCCTGCTCAGACAGATTCCTCGTTTCCTTCACTCCTCCTTACTTCTTTTCTTCTTCTTTTCCTTCTCTCAGCAACTTACAGCTATTAAAATAAAATAATCTATATTGCCATTGAAGAATAAATAAGAACTGGAAGCAAGGAGCTCATGAGTTTTGCTGCTAACTGCTCACCATCTTGCTTCTTCCCTCCTCCAATCTTCTCACTTAAGGAAAGGTTGTTGAGAAGGTAGGTAGGATGTCACTTCAAAGAGGCCTGGAAGAAGCAGATTATGCCCAATGGTTTCAGACCTAGGTATACCACAGAAGCAACATTAATTATATTTGTAGATGATCTCTGGTGTTGCAACTATCCTGGTTTTCCTTGCTCTTTTAGTGGCCATTTTAAAAGATAATTTTCATTTCATAACTATTTTTAACGTGCACTTTTTTTCTTGCAAATTTTATTCAAACTATGTTTAAAACAAGATTTCATCATCTTCTGTTAGGAAAAAGCAGTTGTGGTGATGTGGCCCTTCGCAGGTAATTATATTTGGTTTACTATTATTATTTTCTATATTCACAAGATTGTCTCTGGGGAAAATGCATTCCTAAAATAATAATCTGTTTGGGGAATGATGCCCACAATTCAAATTCCTAAGAGAAAAGTTATTGCTGTTGTAATAAATTACTCTTAGGTACAAATATAAAAAATGAATCATATTAAAGCAGATATTCATTTGGAAGACATAGCCATTTCAGAGCGCCATAATATATATGACTGGAAACTATGATAGATTGAACATAACTTCCAATAATGGTTAGCCATCTGCGAAAAGTAAGAATTTGTTACTATATAAGAGTCAGGTATTTATCAGATAAACTTTTGGTATCCACAGCACCTTTATTTTTGGAGGTTATCTAAAGTGCTGATCACCAGGTTCTAAGGACTCATTGAATTCAACAGAATTTAGCTCTGTATCTATAAGCACCACCTGAAGCTTCTATTCAGATATTCCATCAACAAATTATCTAACAGGATTGGATATGTCTCAGTTGATTTGACAATTTGCAAGGCTTTTGCCCAAGTTTAGTTTTTTTTTCCTTTCCTGAATTTGATCGGTTAGAATGAATCCTCAATCTGATTACACAATCCAGTTTACCAATAATATTCCTATGATTTAGTAGTCTTAGAGTTACCATAATTAGAAATATTATGGAAGGCAAATCCCAAGGCTGCCCCTTACAGACAGCAAGAGGATCAAGTGTTAGTTTCAGAGTGGGGAGAGAGAGAGAGATGAAACTAGTATGAAATATGATTTTTTTTTATCCTGTTTCAAAATTCTAACAGACAGAACAACTTCCTTGATAAGAAATGCATTCTCTCTCTCTATTCCTAGTGCCATCACTGCAATTGAAGTAAACAGGTTTGGGTGATTTAAAGAAGTAGCAGATAACTATACTTAGGTTGTCTCAGGGATGAGCCACAGTTCCTGTTCCTTAATTGAGATAAGTTATTGTGGAACTTGAATCACTCCCTTCTGATGAATCAAGAGTGTTGACTTCCATAGGGTACTTGAAAAGCCAAAGACAGGGAGAGACAAATGTCATACTATGTAGTACGTTAAATGCTTGATCTTATTTAATGTGCATGAAAGACTGATTTAGGATTTATTTTGTTTTTTGCTTTTTTATAGGTGGAACCCCTTGGAAAAGTGATCAGGACTGCAACATGCAGGAACAAGATTATCCCTTTCTTTTATGCCACGGTTGAGACGAGTTTCTCAAATTTGCATTACTTCCAAGGGAAAAGCTGCTACACATTAACCCACTGCATACAGACCCTGCATGCGTAATCCCATCAACTACTGCCATAATGAAACCCTAGATATAGTCTCCACTTGGGTTAAAAAGAAACCAACAATAAAAAGGAATGGATATATTAACATAT